CCCCAAAACCCCAAAACCCCAAAACCCCAAAACCCCATATAAGAGCAAGAGGTAGAAATTAATAAGCATCAAAATAAAATGGCAAATACTAAAACTCAGACAACTACCTTCGACTGGGACAAGGAAGAGACCCACTGAGACCTTGAGGATGAGTACATTAAAGAAAGGAAAGACTCTGACTCCACTTGATCTCCCCATAGCTTTGCTTCAGATAATAATGCTAAGATGACCAGGAGTCCACTTAAAAAGAAAGGCAAAGTCAAGGTTTCTCACAGAGAAGCTTTTATTAAAGAGTTTGGGCAAGAGAAAACCAGAACTAGGAGACAGAGATTTCAGAATGGGGAGTCAAGCTTTTATTTCAGAAGCCCTGAAAAAATTCTCAGCCTGACCCAGTCAAAGCTGCAAGACATCAAAAGACACTCTGAAACTTCGAATATGAGCCAGTTTAAACCCTTGTTGAGAGAAGCCAGTATCAGTGAAAGTGACTCTGAAGACTGTCCTAAAGACTCAGAATACTTTTTAAACACAATCAATGAGTGACTTGCGCCTTCTGAAGAGAGTCCTGAGTCCTACAAGCAAGAGAAGCAAGTGATGGTGACAATGGGAGATGTGATGCCTAGCAAAAAGCCATCTAAATAACTTAATATTAAAATTTAACACATTTTTGGTTAAAATACTATTCGAGTAAGCTAACACTTGGTAAACCGTACTAAGTTGCCATTGCTAGAAAATTAAGAACATGGGTATAGTGGCTCGTGATTCATGATCCTTGAGTTTATTTTTAATTTATCCAAAACAAAATTCACACAATTTTAATGCTCATAAATCAATTTACCTATTTTATGAAGAGGGAGAGCAAGATGAAGAGTAGTATAGCTCTACTATTGTTGCCTGTTTGATTCTAACACACTGTGTAAAGTTAAATAAGAGCTTCTTGACTTAATATTAACATAGCCTAACAATAAAAGTAGCGAAAGTCTCAGGTTTTGTATCCATTACTAGTTCTCTGAAATTAAACTAGTCTTTGACTCTATTGGAGGAGAAAATATTTACAATGCAAGATGGCCACCGTCATCGAAAGTAGTAAGATTCTTTATAGATAAATATACAAGTAGTGGCTCTTGAGTGCATCTTAGAAGAGTCAGAGCGATTTAAATCACTGGCTAGTTCACCCTTGCTCTTAATCTCAGTATCTGTCCATCTATTTATAATATAGTGTCTATCCCTGTGAGCAGCTGAAGAATCATTTTTATCATATTTTTAGTTTTTGTGAATACTTATAAATGAAAGGATCGCAGATGAGCTTCAATATCTGCCCTAGAGGGATAAAATGCTATTAAAAATAATAATTGTAACTGTCAAGCCAAGTATGTCAAGACTTACATAATTTGAAAAGCGTTACCCTTACTTTATGTCTTTATAAGATTTGTATATAAATAGGATGCTTAATTGTATTGTGAAGACTTAAATTTGGGTTAAAAATGGCATTCATAATATAATATAATTGGTGCTCATCTTCTAGCTACCTCCAAGACCAAGAATGGATTTCTTTCACAGAAATAAAATTTTGTATACTTGTTCTACATTCCAAGGATTTTACACCATTTTGCTAATCTCTGGAATACCTTCTGGGATGAATTTCGCTCACCTACAACTACATAAACTATCGAATTTTGTACCAAAGAAGATGCTCATAGATACCCTCCCTTGTGCTTATGAGGTTTCCAACTTTACTTTTGGAATTATTCAAATATTTCAGAATTATTAAAATGCTCAGTTAAAATGAGGCCCATAAAGGGTCTGCTCTCGGCCAAGATTAGGTAAAATATTATCTTCTAAGTTTTAACATACTTGCTCCTTATCAGGATATGGGCCTTAAACAAAGGAGTTTTTACTTCAAAAAATGTTCAGAAAAACTGATATAAAAGGGAAACTGAGGAAACTTTATATAAAGAATTCTTCCATCTGGGAGTATTCATCCGGAGTGCTTATATAAATTATGCTCTACATCTCTTGATCAACATTTAGAGTTTCAGGGCTGATAATTCTCTTTCAGCCACATCTCATATTTAACCAAAATCTCCAATGCTCGATGAACTTTTCGGATGAAAATAGACATATTATTACTAAGCAGCATGGCTTATCAAATGTTAGAGTTTTTACACTTCCAAGTCTTATATTAAAACTTTCAATAGTGATGAGCGATAAGGGATCCAATAACTCTGAATAGATCTTGCAGGAAATCTAAGTAAGAAAACTCATCACTCGAGATGTAAACTCTAATTTTTGATAGTCTTTATAAGCAATGTAGGCTCTGCTGTATTTGAAAATTTCTAATTTATTCATCAAATTAACTCTATAAAGTTATAATTATGATCTATGGTCAGGCTCTGACTCTCCAACTTGTGACAGCAGATCAGATAATAAAGGATCTAAGGTGGAAGACTTCTTGTATACCAAGAGAAACCAAAGGCAAGTGTAAAAATCTTCTCAAATTCTTATGCCCAGGCAGATCTTGCTCTCATATTTTCTTATGTGCGAAGGTAAGTCACGCCTAAGAATTCAGGCTTGACCCCCTACCTTAATATCCAGGCTGTTCCAAGTCTTGCTAAATTAAAGATTTTCCATAGTGAAAGAAAATGTCAAAAAATTTACTGTGAACTAGGACTCTTTGGCATAAGTTCTGCCAGAAAACCCTCATCGTTTATAGTGTTATGAGGATAGGAGAAGCTGAATTTTAGGTAATTTTCATGGTATTTAGAGACCTTAAAAGTTATATAATACATATAGATAAATTTTTAGAGTGCTGAACATGAAAATATTCATTTGGGTTTCATATTGGGGTTTTGGGGTTTTGGGGTTTTGGGGTTTTGGGGTTTTGGGG